GTAAAGTAAACTATTGATGATTAAATTTTTTAAACATCAGATAAACCACAGAAGCAAAGTAGGTGACTGTTAAAGCCTGCAGGCAGTTCTCCTATGTCTGTGATATATCACAGCTGGGTGGGGTGGGGCTGGGCCCCCTTCCTTGCTCCTTCCTCTAATTGCAGAAAATTGAGTCAAATGGCATGTGCATTTCTATGGAAACATCTGTGATGCCATACTCTGTTCCCAGAATCCAATAGGATGTGGCCTCCAAAGCTTGGAAGCTGGCCTTCTTCCTGCCTGTACTGGTCAGCAGGCTGTAGCTTGAGGCCACAGTGACCTTGACTTCCTGTGCCAGCTCCAGGGTGGTCCAGAGGAGCAGCTGGAGTCTCTCCATCCACGTGGCAGCCGTGGGCTTTCCCTCTCACCTTCCTGATGCTACCCCAAAAGAAAGTCATCCCCTCCAAGAAGCACAGCCAGGCACCCAACACATTGGTGAAGGGCTTCACTGTGCTCCAGAATATCGCTGGCAGAGTCACCAAGATCCCAGAGTGGAGGCTGCATAGCACGCTGCAATCCCTCAACAAGGTGGCCCGGGTACAAAGCCAGTACTACCGGAAGATGGTACAGGGTGGGCCTAGGGTACAGAAGATGGCCTCTCATTGAGTATCAATCCCTATGGTCATTGTGCTGACTCCACAGAAATGCCTCATAGACTGTCCTAGGCTGTAATCTTTATGTGAAGGAGTTTAGTGGGTTCCAAGTTGGGCTACTAACCACAAGGTCAGCAGTTTGGAACTACCAGCCACTCTGCAGGGGAAAGATGAGGCTCTCTGCTCCCATAATGATTTACAGGCTGGAAAATCCCACCACCGTACCACCACCAATCTTTATATGAATCGATCGTCAGGGTCAGGTCTTTCTCCCAAGGAGCCACTGGGTGGTCTAGAACCATCAACATTTTAGTTAGCAGTCAAGCACTTTACCACTGCATCACCAGGGCTCCTTTGTCAGCCCATAAAAAAGAATAAGACTGTTGTTGAGTCAATTCTGCCTTATGGAAGCCCAATAGGGCCAGAATAGAACTGTCCCCACAGGGTTTCCAGGGTTGTAAATCTTTACAGAAACAGGCTACAACATAGTTCTCATTCAGAGTGGCTAGTGGGTTTGAACCACCAACCTTTTGGTTAGTAGCCAAAAGCTTTAACCACTGCTCCACCGGGGAGCCTCTTATCAGCCCAAATTAAAACAAAAAACCAAACCTCCCGCCACCAAGTCAATTCCGACTCATATCGGCCCTCCATAGCATTTCTGAGACATTTATGGGCATACATAGCATTCCACGGAGTGCCTGGTAGGCTTGAACTGTCAGCCTTGCAGCTAGTAGCCCAATATCTAACTCTTAGCACCCCCTGGGCTCCTTTGCCAGCTTGCAGTGTTGTGTGTCGTCAGGTTGATTCTGACTCACAGTCACCCTATGCACAACAGAACGAAACACTGCCCAGTCCTGTGGCAACCTCACCACTGTTGTTCTGTTGAGTCTTTATTGCGGTCATTGTGTTAGTTCATCGCCTTAAAGGTCTTCCTCTTTTTCACTGACCTTCCACTTTACCAAGCAAGCCTGATGTCCTCAGGGGCTGCTCCTTCCTGGTATCATGTCCAAGTACAAGAGATGAAGTCTCACCATTCTTGCTTCTAAGGAGCATTCCGGATGCACCTCTTCCAAGACAGATTTGTTCGTTTTTCTGACAGTCCATGGGACTTTCAATATCTTTTGCCAACACCATAATTCAAGTGGATCAATTCTTCTACAATCTTCATTATTCATTCACATGCATTTGAGGCAATTGAAAATACCACAATGTGGTTGGTCAAGCACACCCTAGCCCTCTAATTGACACCTTTGCGCTTTAACACTTTAAAGAGGTCTTTTACAGCAGATTTGCCTGATGCACTTGCTTCCATGAGCATTGATTGTGGATCCAAGTAAAATGAAGTCTTTGACAACTTCAGTGTTTTCTCTGTTTATTATGAAGTATTTATTGATGGAGTTGTGAAATTTTACATTTTGTTTACATTAAGGTGCTATCCATACTGAAGGCTGTATCTTTGATCTTCCTCAGGAAGAATTTTAAGATCTCTTTCTTCCACCAAGCAAGGTTGTATTATTTGCATATCGCAAGTTGTGGTGTTTTGAATTTACTTGATACGGCTTTTCTGTCCAAAGTCTTCTTAATTCCTACCAAG